TGCGCCGCCCTTGCGGATGGCCTCGCGGGGGCCATCGGCCTGAGAAGCTCCAGGAGACTGGATTGCTCCAAGGACTCTCTGACTTTGGAGATACTGCCTCGTGCGGTCCAGGGTGGTTTAGGTACCCTTTCTTCAGGAGCTAAATTAGGGATGTGATGAATTTTTCATCTGTGCTAGCAGAACTCGAGAGCATCCTGTTGACATCATCAGAATTTCGCTGATATAAAACTCGCCAGCTTTTTTGGCCCCCCAGATCAGTACCAACCCTTGCAATTCCTATTGAATACTGGTCACCTTAGCTAAAACTTTCAGCTAAGGGCAGCGTGTTTCCATTGTTTCCAAACCATTATTGTAGGATTATGGACTACTTGTAAATTTAAGAACTGCTGAAATGAAGCCATTATATATGAAAGAACGTCACCTGGTCCTATGATAACAGTAAGCAATACGACACAAACTAGACTAATTTAAATTTGGAAGAATAACAGTTGTATACGTTGCAAAATAAGAGCTATCTGTTTTTGAAGCTCACCTTTTCCAAGATAATTTTATTACAACATACTTCTGAGATACATTCACTGAAATGTAGGGTTTGCCAGGTAAAACTGTTTCCGTTTCCAGAGGAAGAAATCAGATAGGCAAAATGGAATTATTCAAACTGGAATTTGGCCAGAATGATAAAAAAAATCAGATGGCAAAATGTGAGGAGAATTTAGCAAAAAGAAAAAAAAAGTATTTAAGGAAAATGAAGCTTCTTTTGCCTGACTCACTGCATTATGCTTCTCCGGTGTTGCTGATGTCTCAGAACTGAGAGAGATACATACGTGCTCGTGGGATCCCCTTTACAGCACCGTGGATGTGGGACAGCGGGATCCTACTGTTCTGGCCTTATATTTGAACATCCTTGGTCTCACTATCTCATGGATGCTTTCTTAGTGTTAAAATTAAGTTAGAGTCTCCTCTGTGGGAGTGTGCGAAGTAACACACAAGTATGTCAGTTCATATTTAGACTACTAGTAAGATTCATTTTGCATGCCCTTGTGATCATTTGCACTAGTCATTGGTTATTTCTTCCACCTATCTAAGCACACTTGTCAGGTCACTGGCTGTTCTGTTTCCCATGTAGAATCAGGTGAGGATTTGGCTTTTATAGCAGAATTGACAAAGAATAGGACAGTCCGTCCTCTCCCGTCACTCTCCCCACTTCCCCATGGGAGTAGTGCTCCTACACCTAAAACCTCAAAGCGGTGTTCAACTTAAGAGCTAGAGCAGTGACCATCAGGCCTGAAATGTAGTGCTGCCTTTTTAGACTGCATTACCCAACATGCAGGAATTGTCTGACAGGTATTTCTGTGATTCCAGGCTCAGCATGCCACATGCTCATCTTGCCAGCGACGGAAGCCCTGGATGTGTGCACTGAGCAATCCTTTACTTGCCCGGGAGACACCATGAGGAACCCCTCTGAGCTCCTTGCAGGAGAAGCAGAGGCAGGCACTGAGAGGCAGCAGAGGTCTGGACAGCGCTGAGGTGGGATCTGGGGAATCTGCAGGGCTGCGAGGTGATACCTGCTAATGCGCTGGACTGACGGATAGGTAAGAGCAAGAAGAGTGGGGGCAAAGAGTTCAGAAGTCAGATTCAACCCAAAATATAGCCATATAAAACCAACATAACCCCAGTGATTTTGGAAGCAATCATTTTTTGCATCCGAGATATGACTTTTAATTTTTTTTATATTGGCTATTATTATTACCTAGGGCAAAATATGCTTTGCTATCATTGTGCTGAGCACCCATTGCAGAAATCGAGGCCACATTTAGCTTCATGCTTTGCTCCATTTTTCTCTGGAGTTTGACCTCACCTTATGTACAGAATGATCTAAATTTACTGAAGCTTTATCACCTGCTTCAGAAAGAAACACCTCCTTTTTCTCACTGAATCTTCAAGTTAAGGAGCAGTGAACTCCAAAGAGCCAGAGCAAGCTGAGCACAGTTGAGGCTCATGTAATCAATATGTTGATGTGTCTAATAATAATTGAAAAATATTGTTATGTCAGTTACTGTTCCCTGCAGAGTTTTATTTTTAATTTAATGCTGTAGAGCACATAGCCTAAACTCTCACCCTTTGCCCCTTTCTCTTCTAGGTTTCCAATTTTACCTTGATATAGTTTTTTAAATTGTAAAAAATTTAACATGGGGAGGGTGGAGATATTTTAATCATCCCGATTTCTATTAAGAATCTTTAAATTACAAACCTAATGCACGTTTCCTTGCTTGGAAAACCTGTTTGTGACCACCCAGACTGTTTGCAGCAATCTGAGAGCAGCTCACTATGTCCCAAAGCACCCTGTTGTCTAGCCAAACTGCCGAAGTCCTGGACCTGCAAAGATAATGGAACAGGATAGGACCATGACATAAAAGGCAGGAGGGGCCTGGGTTATGTCAAATATCTTTAGGTTATGCCCAGCTTCATTCTAGACGGGCAATAATGAAATCTGGTTTTGTGACTTTTTAACCTCTGAAGTACTGTGAGCCTGAACAATGACTAATGAGAACAAGGAAGTGGAACTGAGCAGTCCAGTTTCATTTTTTAGATACAGTGGAAAAAAATACACCAAGGTAAACAAGTAAGCAGTATATATAGCTAAGCTTGTTGAGGTAACATACCCCAATCTGTGCCCTGTAGAATTTATGATGTAAAAGCATTCAAGCTAAATTGGATGTTTAAATCTGGTGATCTTGATCGGGGGTATTTAAGGGACAATGATTTATGTGATATCTGTGTGTGAAAGAGTATAGATTACCTTTTAATAGTCCAATGACTTGTGGCTTGAGAGGCAAATAATCTTTTGATGGTTTTTATGCTCACAATGTCTTTTTAAAGTGGAGTGTAACCTCACTCACTTTTTTTCTCACTCCTATTCAAATTGTTTTACATTCTCTCTGCAACTGGAACACCTCCCTCCCACACGTACACACCTCAGTCACTCATCTAATTCAGCACCTGAGCAGTCTAGTTTGTCAGGGTGAGCCAACTCTGATACATTCATCACCGTTTATCCACTATTGAACTGTCACACTGAAAGTTGACTAATATTTTTTGATGCTGTGTCATTTACGATAATGGTAAAGAGTTTCAGACGACAGGCTGTCATTTCTGTTTTCTTACATGTAATTAGTCTCCCATCCCATTAAACACAATGCATAATGTTTGTTTTTTAGAAATATTCAAGTTAGTAGTTTTTTTGAGCCACAAGCGGAACTAAAAGAGACCACTTATCCTGAAAGCATGTGTCTCAAAACAGTGGACGATTCCTTAGAGATCAGGACATTACTGTGTATAATACAGCATATTAGAAAGATGGCTCCTTGAAGAGGACACAAATGCTAATTAAAAGCTGCCTTATAATAAGATAAAACTCTGGTAAAGGATCCTTCATCTATAAGGCAGCATGGTAGTCATTTTGGATCACAGATGGAGTTGCTACAACTTCCGCACTCTCCAATTCTGTAAAAAATGAGTGAATAGTTTTATTCTTTACTGGAATTTTTACTGTGTTTCCACTGTGTGTTTAATTTTATAGGATGACACTCAGGTGTAGAAACACTCAGGTTTAGAAAGTAATTCTGAACCTGATGGAAGTCTAGAGCTAAGCTAGCTGTCAATAGCCTAAAAATACAATTAGGTCAGAATAGCTGTAGTATTGGTTGAAACAAATCTGTTAACTAGGGACTCATCTTATTTTTGCTTCAGAGCATCTATGTAAGGCTTTGAAGCCTTTCTATTGCAATACAGGTTGTTTTATGTGATCACACCACAATCCATGTTGCCACCATGCAACAAGCAAACTTCCCATGTGTGCAGATGGTGTGTTCCTGCCTCCGCTGATCCAGCACCAGAACAAGAAGGGCTAATTATGAAAGGTTCCTTATCTGAGGATGAGGTTGCCTACTCATTTTTAAAAGACAAAGCACATCTACTGTTGCCTGTGCTGCCCACAGTCATGCAGGTTAGCTCTTCTGTCATTCACACCGTATTTTTATGGAAGAGAAAGCAGATATTCATAAATAGCAGCTATAGATGCAAAAAATGTACTGGAGTTTTTGGCAGCAATTGATGTTTTGTCTTGTTTCTTTCAAGTGTTCCTCCTCTTTGCCTTTCTCATTTCCCATGCCCTTCTCTTTGAAGCTGTATGCTCTCAGGACCTCTCTTCTCTTCACATGTGCTCTCCCGCCTGACTCCCCTTCTCCCCTGAGTGTCCCATCTGGATACCTGTTGTCTCTGTTTTTTGGATAAACTGTCTTGGATAAAAATTCCCTCTTGACATCCATATTCTGGGCTCAGTAAGAGATCTCTTCACCTCCTTCCTGTTCCCCCCCTTCCACCCTGACAGCAGCTGTTTCTGGTCTGGCAGATATGGTAGGTGCTACACCCATTTATAGAGATATTATTAAGTGTAAACTCTTTTCCACAATAAAGAAACTATAGAGGCAAGGAAGGTAGAGCAAGTGTGGAATTCTCCTCTGCGAGCCCAGGGAATGCTGCCGAAACAGGAGATCGCTCATGTTCAGCAGCATCTGCAAATCCTGTAGGCTGCTAACTTGGCCTCCTTCTAGAGGAAAATACTGAATCTTTTTCTGGATATTAATTATTCACCACTGCAGAGTGACTTAAAACACATGAGAATTCTCTTAGGAAGCAGTGCCTAATATGTGTTCTGTGCAATCTTGAATCAGTTGTATTGATGGTAATACTTCTAGTGACTTAAATACTTCTATTGAGTTAAAATGCAACTTGGACCACTCAAGTCAATCCAGATGACATGGGTGGCAGCATCTCCAATAACTGAATCATCATATTTCTATAGGGCTTGTCCTAAGTTTGTCTCAACTCCTTTACCTAACTACTCAGAAGGCTCTCGTCATTCCTGTATGCAAGTGGGACCTAAATGTTACATAAAATCAACTTAGTGGAGTTATTCCTGACTTACAATGGCATCTGCTAAATCAGAACTGAACCTTTCAAAAGTCTCTGTAAAGTGCTTTGAGCATTATTCAGAGTACTGTAAGAGAGCCACAAACAAAAGCATTCCTTACTAGAAGTTGAACAGATTTACTAACCTGTTGCAATGCAAACACAAACACCTTACAACTGGGACACATTTCCTCAGACTCACTGATCTCCTCCAATTCCTGGTACAGAACAAGGTGAGATGAGTAACATGAATGGAAGGTTTTCTTTAATCCTCTGACTTGCTGGAACAGAGAGAATTACTAGATAGTGCGTTGAGTGACAGCTCCCTTAAAAGGATTGTCTTGAGAACATTTTAACACTGATAAAATAGTGACTAACATTTCAGAACTGTTACAACGCTCCACCTGCAGAAAGGCCGCTCCTTGGGAATGAGTCCAACAGAGAGTGAGCGATGAGAATGCAGGAAGAGAAAGATCTAGGGAATGAAGAGAAAAGGACTAGTGAGAAATCCTAAATGTTTACAGATGTGGAGCAGTCTCCTCTCCCTAGTGTCAAAGCCCATGTTTCCTCCAGCAGCCAGCCAGGCTTTGCAGGGACTAGGTATCTCTCTTTGCCTTTTGACACTGCTCACTGGCTGCCCTGGCATCCCCAAATCTGCACCTGCATTTTGTACAGGATCAAAGGTGAATGAATCTGTGTAAAAAAATGTGAGAAGTCGGGGGTCCCCCTAGATGAGGGGATAAAGGCCAATTCTCCTCTTGTTGAAGCTAGCGGACATTGATGGAAGCAGGATCCAGCCTGGAAACCTCTCGTCCCCCAGACCCTCAGCCCTCAGAGAGCTTATCTGGTTCTGCTTCTAATTCACTGGCCGTGCTGTTCGTGGCCCTCCGAGCTGTAGGTTCCCTCCCCTGTGTACACCTGCTGCTACTTACACCTGGGTGGAAGAATATCAGCGTCTCCTGAATTGATGTGAGAGCTTTTAACCTCCAGTTGGCACCAGTATAAATGGCAATGTAAAGTAAAAGGCAGAAGGGAATGTGAAAACTGCATTGGTGAAAGAAGGGCAAAGATTAAATCCTTAGCAGTCATTCTATTGAGTTTACCGTAAACTACTGACCCACATGGTGTTCATGGGGACTGGTGCCATTGGTGCCTGCTATCTTGAGGTGCAATATTTAAATGAACACCCACCCCTTGCCTTTATGGCTGTTTTTGCATTCTGAGATTCTGGCTTTGCACGTTCACAGCTTCAAAGTCAAGAAGCCTGGTGTCCTGGCCAGTTGGAAGAGTGGTTTTATTATGTTTGCTTGACTATCCTCCACACCAGTTTTAACTGGAATAAGGCTTTTTTCTTTCTTTCTTTTCAATTTCCTACCTAAACTGTAATATATTGCTGCCATTCTATATTAAACAGATGCTTTCAACCCCAAGGTAACTGCATATGAGTGGTGGCTGAATTGAAAGTTATGCTTTGTCCATCCCTTGGGAAAGTGCCTTGGAATGAAAAGTGCTGTTCCAGCATGGGATTGTTGTAATTCTTTGTGTGTTCTGCTGTGAATGGAAATGTTCTAGAAGTACAGTCGGTCTTCAAACCTTAAATACATGCATTCCTGTGCAATTC